AAAAAACCCCCAAAAAAAAAGGGGAAAAACAAAAAACGGAAAACCCCCCAAAAGAGAAAAAAAATTTTACAAGGGGAATACTTTTCACACAAAAGAGAAGGATACACCCAAAAAGAGAGTGATGTTAAGGCAGCACAAAAAATGGTTGACAACCGAAGAGCAGCAAGAGTGGACAGGCCGGGAGGTTTTTCCCTTTGAGAGGGGCTGGGTTTTTTTTCCAGGGGCCCCACCGTGTACCACAGCAAAAAAACCAACCTTTGTGTTTTAAAACAAAAAGACACTGACTTTTTCCCTTTCCCCGGGGAGCGGGGGGGGCACCTAGCAGTTGGACCAATGGTAAAACAGTTTCGTTAAAATATTTTTTTTTCTTCAACCCTTTTAAGTTTTTGGTTTCTTCCCCAAAAAAATTTCCCCCAAAAAAGGGCAGATAACACCAAAAACATGAAACGAACTGAAACAGAGCGAGGGTACCCCACGGGGGGCGGCGGTAAAGCAGCGAACAGTGGGTGGTCAGGCGACATTGGGGGCTCGACGAATAGGGTTGAGCGGGCTTGACAGCGGGAAAAAAATCTTGCTTAAAAGACGGTATGAAGAAACGTAATGTGACCCCACGGATGGGGGGGTCCACGAAATTTGAAATATTTTTTTTTCCAAGGGTTTAATAAATTTTCGGGGGCCCGGGGTTTTTTTTAGAAAAACACCAAAAACCAAATAAAGGCTTTTACTTTTTTTACCAAGGCTCGGGGAAAAACAATAAAAATAGGGGCTAGGGCCCCCATTTCTCCAATATTTGGGGCCCTTTTTGGGGTTTAGGAGGAAAAGGTAAAAGATGGTTTGGGTTTTAAAGATGGATAAATATGCGGGGGGGTAGAAAGAAAAGGGTAAATAAATTTCGTTTTTTTAAAAAACCATAAGCAAACCAGGAAAACAAGAAAAAAAGGGTCTCGGGCCCCGAAAATTTTTCTAATTTGTCCATTTTTTTGCACAATTTTTAAAAAATTATTTGTGTATTTGGAAAAAAGGTGAAGGGGAAATTGAGATTGGGTTTGGGCTTTGGGGAAGGGGAGTTTAAAAAAAGGGATTTGGGAAAAAGGGAATAAATGTGTGAGGGGGGGAGGAGGGGGGAGTTGTCCTGGGAAAAGGGATGGAGGGAAGGGGTAAAGGAGGTTTTGTGTGAAAGGGGGCCCTGGACATGCAGCAGGTATGTGGAGCAATTTTAAGAGTGAATGAAGACAAAAATGGGCCCTGATAAGCTTTTTAAAGTGTAAAACGGGGTAATTTTTGTGAAGGGTTCAGGGAAACCTTTAGCTGACTTGTTTCCTGGAGGTGGGAAGCACTGCCTGTATTTAAAGGATGGGTGTTGGATTTAGCTTTTTGGGAGGACATCAAAAAACTGTCAAAACTGGGCCCCCCTGCAAAGACGATATTATGTGAGTGATAGTGAGAGGTTTTTTTTTTTTTTGGGTCACCCTGCCTCAGTGGGGAGGCCGCGTGTTGAAAAAATTTATATTAGTAAGTTCAAGCTCTTAAAGGTTTGGGGGGTTTGTCGGCTCGGAGTTTATCATCCACACAGCAGCTTTTTGTTTAATTTTTAAAGATGTTTGTTTGTGGCCGTTCCCCAAGCAAAAAATACCAAAAAAAATTTAGACACATGGCAACTTTTGGGGTATTTTTATTGAGGAAACGTTTCACCACACAGTGGTTTCATCAGTCCTTAAAAAGGAGAATCTTAAAGAACAGGAGGGAATGAGGTAATCAGTCCCTAAACCTTTGAGTCGATGTGATCTCCATCAATCTTGAATAGAATACGGCATAGGGGGAAAAGGAGTTTATAAACCGTTGGTGGGGAGAGGTGTGCAGTATGGGCGGTGTCACTTTGTTCAATGTGGAAGTGGGTGTCCCCAAAGAATTAGGGAAGCGAAGAAATTCCCCAAATATTAAGATCCCAAGAAGTTGCAGTGTCTGAAGGTTTGTAAAAAATGGTTCAGAGAACCCACATGTTGTAAATTAGACACATGTGAACTCTTGGGATCTTTTTTAGGAAAAAGTTTCGCCACCAGTGGGTTCATCAGTCCCTACAAAGGAGAATCTTGAAGAACGGGGGAGAAGAGGTATCAGCCCTCAACCTTGAGGATCTTTAAAACTTGGAATTCTTCGCTTGCCCAATTCTTGGGCACGGGGCCTACTTTTCCCCAATTGAAACAAATGTGACACCCCCTATGACTGCTACACCTCTCCACCAACGGTTTTTTAAGCTCCTTCCCGCACGTATTTCCGAAATTTTTTCAAGATTGATGGGACTGATCACATTAACTCAAGGTTGAGGGGGTGATTTCCCCCATTCTCCTCCTTTCTTCAAGATTCCCTTTTGTATGGACGATGAAGCCACTGTGTGGCGAAACGTTTCCTCATAAGTTACCCAAGAGTGACATTTGGGCTAATTTTTCAAAATGTCGGTTCTTAACCATTCACCACAAATACCATAGGTGAGAAAGGGTAGATTACAGAGTGTATAAAATAAGGAGCGTCATTTGGGGACATAGTTGTATCTTTAAAGGATGTTTCTGTTTTGGAGATTTAGTTTATGCGGATGTGGGGTCTGAAACTTTAAAATTTTCGGCAAGGTGGAGACCTAGAAATTTGCCCTCCGTGTGTCTTGTAAGGGGAAGCCATTACTGTAGTTAAAGCTGGATATTTTAAATTCCAATAGCACGAAAATAGGTTTTTTCTGTTTGAGAGTGGTTTTTTGATCGTCCCATGTACATATTTTTTTTTTAGCTATTCATGACAGTGTTAAGCATAGCGGGTTGAGTGGGAAATTTTTTGGTTTTAAACATGAATGTTTATTATTAAAAAAAACAATTGATACTGGCTGTTTAGTAGGTAAAGTGGAAAGTTTGTTTTTTAAAAAGATTCGTTGAAAAATTTGGTATGTTTATTTCTCTAATTTAAAACGAAAATAATCCAAGTATTTTTTTTAAAGCATGATTTGCTGCAGTCACATTTTCTTCTTTAGATTGAGGTCTACTTTAAGTTGCAGGGAGGGGCAGAGGAAGGAGTTCATGCAAACCTTCAAAACCACCATAGTAGGAACCTGACAGCGAAAACTCTGGTTCTCGGTATTCCTTCGGCCAGCACGGTCAGTTTACAAAGGGTTTTCCTTTTCCCTTTTTTTTGCTAACATTGTGTTACCCATTTGTAATTTAAAAAGTTGTGGAACATCAGGTTTCCCTGGCTTGGTTGGCAGCGCCCTCATTCACATAGTGGTGTAGAAATGGGATATGTCCCTACGCTATTTTTTTTAAAACCTTTAAACTGTGCATGCCCAGAAATTAAAATTTTGTGTATGTGTTAGTCAGGCTGTTGATCCTTTTGGGTTCAGTCTTGGTTATGATTTTTTTTTGTAATAAGTGTATTGTCAAGATTTGAAAAATAAATTTTGTTTTCTTCAAATTGAAAGAGTGCACTTTTTAGAATAATATTCAGTCTTCTATTATTAAATTGTTTGTTTCCTCATCACCTTGTTATTTCCATGTTTACATTTTTAATTTTTCCTTTTTTTACACCCCCCCAAATTTGTCAACCCAAACCCTTTTCAAATTCTTTCAGAATCTCCAAAAAGCAAATGTGACAACTCATACTCTGTATTTGATTCCTTTTTTTTTTAATCAAACCCTCCCCGTACCTCTTTTTTAAACCCCCTCTTTTAAATATGTCATAACCCTGGTGACAGCCTTGCTCCCTTTTTAAAAGGCCCACTTTTGTAGGAAAATAATTTCTTTTCCTCCTACATACCTTAAAAACCTTTGACTGTCCGCGGGCCCTAATTTTACGTCTTACGAAAAGGGACCCTTTTGACAATATATACTCATAAAATTTTAGCGGCTTCTTTAAACAAGCGGGAAAGGGTAGGCTACATGTGAGAGAATGGGTCTTTTTGGTCAGTGTGCACCCTATAAAAAAAAACCGGAGCACGAGTGCATAATGAAAAAAAAAAACCCGCCCTTTTTTTTTTTAATTTAAAAAAAAGGGAAAGGGGGGTCCCATTCCCCAAAATGTATTCCTTTTAAAGGCAAAGGGGGTAAAAGGGGAAAAATTATAGGGGGGGAAGTTTTTTTGATTTATATTTTAAAGAACCCCCCCGGGGGTGGAAGCCCCAAAATAGGGAAATGTTTGTTTTCCATGTTGGGGGGCGGCCCTTTTTTGAAAAAACCCCCTTCAAAAGGTTTGTTTTTTTTTTTAAAAAAAAT